TAATCAATAGGCATTCGACTGTATTTGATTATTCCATAATCTTGGCTAGAACATCATAAACTGGACAGACATTACAAGCATGCAATCAATTAGGTCAGTCTCACACTATCGTAAAACACGCTCTTAATATGTTACTTTTTGCTAAAAAGATGAACTTGCTTAAACAGATAAAAGTTAATAAGAAAACAGCGTAAAGCCAACACACCTCCTTGATTGTAGACGGTGCAAGAATCCCACAGTACGGTCGCCACTTTCGCCTCAAGATACCCACTATACGACCACTTGGAACGCGTTTGGATTTGGCAGGGCCTGGTTTCAGCTTCACAGACTCTTCTTCATCCTGATGGAAATAGAGGCACGCTTTGAACACTCAATATAAGTTTGCCTTTACTGAGCTAGATGTAAGACTATAAAGATACTTGACGAACGGTACAGTGCTGTGAAAAACACACAGTGGCACGTGAAACATCTGTGGCAGCAACGGAGCTCAGGAAGGCTAATCTAATACAATTCATTGTTATGACGACTCCCACACTCTTTCTCTTAGGCATTCTCAAGAATGCTAAAACTAAGAAAGCACAGCTTGATGCAATGTAACTTTCACAAATACACATCACAGTAGGCTAGGGTGTGTGCAGTTTCCATACAACAATCTTCATTTATTATACATAACGTAAAATTTTTGGCACAGCGACGCTTTTAGAGTGAGCACACTAATCATGTGAATGACATTTCCAGTCGCAAATGAGACAAGAGTTAGCCACAAATTACCAAGCCCACAGCTAATGTATAGACAGGTTGTGTCTGTTGAAAGTCAAGCGGCCGATATTGTCCAGTATTATCTGAGCTGTCCACATTAACAATAATTTACAGTGAATATTAATTAGTATAGAAATACTTAAGCGTAAACACATATAACCAATTTTGGACAAGATCTTACGGTTTTCTCTTCTTCATCTTGCGTTTCATCCACAAGTACAAGTCCAGATGGCAGTGACCACTGGTCTTCAGGAAAAATCTCCACCACCACCAAGTCCTCATGAACAGCTCGGTTCAAGTTGCTTCTGCCTTGAATCAATATCTTTATTGAAGAGAGAAAAACCAAGATAATGAGCACATGGATTTATTGACAGCATCAGATTAAAGTAAAGGCTGAGAAAATGCGATGAATCCATGCAGCCAATATAGGAGAGATTTTTGTGCACTGGCATAGCAGACAATCAGTCAGTGGTTAAAATTTGAAAAGTTGAGTTACAAATGGACTAATGATCAAACACAATGATGCAGAAGGGCTGCGGACCTGACACTGTAAGTTAGAGAAAAGAATGAATTAAAAGCTTTATTTCTGGTTAAAAGGAAGGGGGCAATAGGACAGAGGGCAGAGGAAAGGAACTGCTTGAAGTTGTCCTCTACACTCTCAGCCCACTCCAGGATGCCTTCTCGAATGTCAGGCCTCGAAAGAGGGTGTTTAGGGCAGTCCCGTATAATGTGGTTTAAGTCTGCTGTGGAACAGGTTCAGAATTTACAAGAGAGAGAAGGGTAACATGACAGATGAGTGCACAGTAGGGGGTAAGGGGAACAAAAGGTGAGAGTCTGCAGCTGTCACTGCAGAATTTCGCACTCGCGCGTGGATCTGCGCAACAGTGGTGGGAAGGCCAATCAATAGCATGTGCAAGTCTCATGAAATGAAATAAGGCGATCTTATACTGTAAACAGCGCTTCTTACGAAGCGAGTTGCGACACATCGGATGCATGTGCCCAGACTATAAATAATCTGGCACTGGCATGAACCGCCTCATTTCCGGCAAGGCCCACATGCACGGGAGTCCAGATTAGTGCTACAATTTGATCGAGGGGATCGATCACGATAGTAGATAAATGAGAGATTTTCAGGGCCAAGGCTATATATAGCCCCCTCTTCCACTCCCTCTGAAGAGGCAGGAATGGAGTCAGCCACAGCGACTCGGCTGTGAGTTTATTACTGATATTGCATAATGGTTCCTGCTCCCGAAATCAGCAGCATCAACATAGAGAATATCATTTGAGGAGGAGAATTGTTTCTTTAGGGCCTTTGCACACTGCTTCTTGTGCTGTTCGTGGTGCACAGGATGCATGTTTTTGGGAAGAGAGGGAATGTAGAGGTTCTCATGTTATGTAGTGTGGAATGGTAAACTTAGCCTTAGTGATGGGTGCAAGAGTGACAGAAAGAGTTTGTAGCATGTATCAATTTGTCACGGTGTCAGAAAGACTGTTATACAGTGATGCATATAATATGCGCTTGCCCGAGTTCGGTAAGGGTGTTGAAGGTGCCAATACACATAAGTCTTTCAGAGGAAGTTCGCATAGGCACCCCTAAAGCGAACTTATATGTCTTGAGTAAACGGATATCATATCTGATCAGATTTTGATTGAAGAAAATGTAGATAAGCTATTGAAGAACTACCGTAACTTGTGACCTTTGCTTGAGAAGAAAAAACAGCATGCAACATCACATCTGATGAACTCTTTGATCGCTGTCATAGCTCTGCCATCCGAACTGATGGATTCGTACAACTTGTTCTATTCCTTTCACCAGGGCCACTGGTTGCATTCTGATCATCTCCGAAAACTACCATTTTGTCCTACACGTCAGTTAATCTAAACTTCAACCCAAGTTCTCTCATTGTATCTAGTTAAGTGTGCTGAACTCAAATGTGTTTCTGCCCTATGCATAAGCAGCTTTAGCATATAGCTGCAATTATTCAGGCTTGTATGTACACTGTTACTAAGAAGACAGACCTTTAAACGACAAATACATTCTTTCTTCTTTATTATCTCCTTGGTACAATCAAGCCCACTGGCAATGATTTCATATAAAGCAATATTTTGCCACTGCAAACACTTTAGCTAAAAAAATATGCATAGCATGATGAAACTTGTGAGTGATAGTTGGTATCATCATGACAGTTTGTGCAAAATGTTATAATTTAAGTCAAAGATAATCTATGGTGAAACTTGCTACATAAATTTCAAAATAAAAGATGACCAATAACATTTGTCAAAAGTTTGTTGCACTGTTCATCAGGCATAGCATGTGACAGCAACACACCTGTCTTTCAACTACTCTCGCATACCACTAGCCACCTTCTTCTAGGCATACAAGCAACAGTAATCAACACAGCAAAGCCAAAACATCACATTAGAATGTACAGCCCGACATAACGCACATACAGAGGGAAGAGAAAAGGGTAACTCACACTACGAGATTCTTCGTCATCACCCAATACAACATTTCCTTCCAAGTAGTTGTCTCGGCTGGCCTGAAACTTTCCCTGTTCAAAACGACCACTCTTGATGCCAAGGTGCAGTTCTGACTGAGGCAAGTGTTCAGGATAGATGCAGTGGCGATCAGCTTTTTTCTGTTCAAAAAAAAAAAAAGAGAGAAAGAAATGGCAAGAACAACACTAGCTAATTACGTATTATCACTAATGTGGGGCAACTTGAGCTCAGATTTGCTTATTACTAAGATTCGTTTACTACCAAGTCATTAATCATAAATCAAAAGCACATTTAAGTGGGATTAATCTTACAGCTGCTTCGTCAAGTTCGAGTTTAGCGAGCTTGTCCAGGAGACCTGGATGGATCCTTGAGGCTGCGAACGTATTCTGCAACTGCAACTGACGAAAAAAATTGGGACAAAAATGCGACAGATGTACGACAAGCGCAACGCGTTCGAAGAACTAATTCCGATTCGTAATACTCACACGTGCATGCTTTGAGGCCCTGTGCCTGCGCCTTGGTGCGATTCTCTTCATCATTGGTGAGAAGCACAACGTCCACTCTATTTGATAGGTGCTCGCAATACCAACTGACGCTCGTGCGGATAGCACGATCGTTGCGGTCATTGGCACTTTCACCGGCTTCACGTTCTATGTATGTCTCCCTGGGTTAATGCACGGAAACTCGAGTCATTCCGCGACCAAGGCACACTCGTAAAGAAAGTAACCGCGTGCAGTTACGTACTTGTGGTGCTCGTTTGTAAAAACAAAGAAGTGTCGGTCCTTATTCCCCAGAATCTCACGGATGGCATTGTAACCGGGAGCATGTCGATGTCTTAGTTCTTGCTGAACTGTCTGCAGTATAATGACGTTCTTGAAGACGGAGTCCTTTAATACGTCTATCTGCGTCACCAAAAATGCACTGTATTAGTGATGCCTCATACTTGCACACACACACACACACACACACACACATTTTGAGCAGCAAGCGTTCAACCTAAGTTATCCTTCAATATAGGATGGGTGAGAAACTCCAAGAAAACTTGACCACATACCTGATGTAAAACTACGTTAGTGTCGGGCACAACGTAGTGGGGCGATGGGAAAAGGTCGCTAAAACTTTGTGGCACCGATTCGAGGTTAGGATTTTCGTGTTTGCATATCTTGCAGAGTTTCGATCCACACCAAATGTCATCACGAAGGTAGTGTTCTCTAACGATCTTGAGCACGTTCCCTTTCTTAGTTTTCTTCACGAAAGTCTTAGACGTCAGCATATTTAAGGCTCACCTCATTAGAACCCGTCAAGTTTTAAAAACTGCTTAAAATCATCCAGCGTTCCTTACAAAGTGCCGAACTGCGGCGTTTCAGTTTACTTAAAACACGCCGACTAGACGCCTGGAGTAAATCCTACCGCTTGCGTGTCTATTATTGGCGTAATATCTACCTTTCATCGAGAATGACAAAATAAGGCTTTTTGTATAAAATAGAGTTTAAATACTTAAAAATTATTTGTTGCTTAAAAGCATTAATTGAATGTAAAAGTGTTAAATTATAGCTTTAATCACACTATTAAATCTCACAAAACTGGCATTTTATTAGCCGCACGCTCGTAAATTAGCGCGCGTTTTGAAATTTGTAATTGTGTCAAACTGGGAAGTAAATTCACATTCATTCATGGCCAGCGAGAGACCGAGCTAAAATTTACTTGTGATTGCCCCAGATGCAAGGGTGAGAAATGGAGCTCTGGCGAGCTGCCTGCGCTACTAAGCTTCGTTAAAAGCAATTCGTTCATGCCTTGCCACTAAACACCGCACTTCGCGTAGTGGGTATGATCCATTCTCGGCGGCGAAGCAAGCAAGAAAAAGGCGGTAGCTAGGGCCACGAACAGCGACAAATTTCTGGAAAAGATGAGGTCAATTCTGGCGACGCTGATCCTCGCTGTCGTTGCCCTGAGGACCGCCGGTCAACAACGCGACGAGGAACTTCCCTTCGACGACCTTATGGCAACCATCTGTCGTTAGTATACAACATGCGTACGTGTTTGTAAAAGAGCCGCGAGTGTGCCCAGGCAGTTGTCGTTTTGCATCGAAATCTGCTAGAGCGTGCAATCAATTTCTCGTCAGAAGGCAGATAAACATTTAAACGTGGAAATAAGCGCACTTAGCAACTCCTTTGGAGTGCCCCACTGGCATAGCATGCACACTACTGAAGTGTGCCCTCCCGCAAAACGGAAAAGACTTACTGATCTGAATGAGACAACGTGGTTATACGATAACCTTAATGGCTTGGGTATAAGTCAATCCTCGATAAATTAACAATGAATTAACTCGACATATGGAGGCCGTCTTCTTAAAATTTGCGTACAGAGCACATATGCTGTGTCATCATAGGTCGGCGAAAATTGTGAAGCTCACTCAGGCTCACTCATCAATTATATTTCGGCCTTAGGGTTCACCCACCAAAATTTTCATGAGCTGAACTCACTTAGTCTCAGACTCACGGCTCGATCCAATTCTAGGCGAGTCCAGCTTAGTCAACTGATGAGTTTATTAACCTAGAATTAGCTTTTTCGAGCATGGTGTCGATGCTATTTTACACAAATATGTCACGTAAAATATGAGTGCTATTTTCGGCGCCCTCTATTAGAGTACCTTGTAATACGAGTTATGAGGGTCTGCAAACTAGTAAGGACATTTTTTCTTGAAAGAGATGGCAACATAAAATATATATCTCCGGAACTTCTCCGGAAGAGCAGGGGAAGGTCAAGGCACCCACTACGTAATTTACACGTGGACCATAGGTCGGCATAAAAAGCGGCACTTGCTCAGACTCGCGCGAAGATATATCTTGCGCTTCGCACTCACTCGGACTCAGATTCCCCAAAATTTTCCTGGGCTGGACTCGCTCAACCTCACACTCACTAAAACTTTATTTGACTGGACTCACTCGACACAAGCTCACCAAGATAATTACTCCTCTACACTCACTTCGACTCACAGCTCGATCAGAGTCTGAGTGAGTCAGCTCGCGAGTGAGTTCGCCGACTTATGTGTGCCACATCAGAAAACATAATCGTTCATTTCTACAAGTTAAAATTGGTGCAAGGCAAAAGATGTAAGACTGAACAATGCAAGAATTCATAAAGGGCATTTTTTTTCTTATTTTTAATGTGATGCACTATGCTTGAAGGGGTAACATAGAGAAAAAATAAGTTGTCTTGAAATGGATAAACTGAACTCTGAGAACTCTAATGTGATAAGCTCACTGTCATAACTTCATTATTAGCAGAGAATATTAAGGTTGAAGTTTCATTTTTAAAATTTTGCACCTCAATCACCGTGCTTGACGTAAAAAATTCTACAATGTAGTTTTCGTACTTTTGCGACATCGATGAGATTTTCGGAGACTTCATATGCTAAGTCTATGGCACCCACAGATTACAATGTACTTCAATTTCATCGATTGGAAGGTACGTAGGGCCCAGCAGACGCCTTTAAAATTTATGACGTCACAGTGTCTGGTGCTAGAATCTCAAGATGGCGTCTCCACCCACAGTTTCCTTTCCCGCATTTTCTCACTTAACAAGTCTCATGTCATGAGAAATGTGGTGTTTTCTGTATTGTGAAATTGTACTTTACTAATACGCAAAAAGCATTTTGGTCTTTAGTGTCCCTTCAACATAACCACAAGATTTGTACCTCACTATAAGGTTCAGTATTAACAGCTGATTTATGGGCATTTCTTACCTACATACAGTTACGGTGAGCTTATCGAATAAAGCACACAACGTAAGATGCGAAACTGTTTTTAGCCTAGCCCATCTAAGGTGGTGCTGTAATCTATGCTCTGAGACTTATACTACTCATGTGCTTGTGTGCCAAATCATTCAAGGGCATGCAGTACACATTTAAAATAAAATGTAAGCTTTGAGTCTACATAAAAGTATTTTTGTTGAGGTTTGGTCATAGTGCTGTTTACGAGTAAAAGCAACTTTTTTTTTTCAGGTAAATATGAGAATGTGGCAGACAGAAAAGACGCCATCACGTGCGTTGGGGACCGAATGGATATTGAAGTAAGGTGCCTCCGAGGTTCTAGTGAATTAAGAACTGCCTTCACGAAACTACACTTCATTTGCAGCTAGAAGCCATTGTGACAGAGTGCCTCCAGAGACAGTACAGATTTGGCAAAATCAGTGCTCAAACTTTTGACATGCTGTGTGACGACGACAGCAGAGTAAGTCAGCAAATTTCAACTGAAGTAGTGTGTGGTTGCATACGCTGTGAAAAACTCTGGCCATGAGCTGTTTCTAACTTTATTTGACCATTTCCTTTATGTTAGAAAATGGATCGCGTCTATGACTGCGTCGATGACCAGGCAGACAGCCAAGGCGGCCGCGATTGGACTCTCGATGAGGTCGCAAAATACGTCCAGGTAATTGTGTCCTATGTGCTACAGTTTTTCCAGCATTTCAACATGTACAGATATCCCTTAGTGTGCATGTCGCTTATTATTCCAAAGATTCTTATAAATCTCGCCTCACAATACTACGTCTTGGTGTCCCAACCGACACCGTAGAGGAGCGTCGAAAAGCCCTTCGAAACCTCATATGCAGGACCACCCTGTGGCACATGACAAACTTCCTAGTTCTTTTTATTTGATTATATCCTATTCATTTTCTCCAGAGAGTCAAGTAAACTTGAATTGTCATACGAATAGCATAAAATCTCCAGCCAAATTATAGTCTAAGTGGAAAAAAACACTCTAGTGACAACCAAGACGGAAAAAAGACGTTGGAGAGGTCGGCACCACCAAGAAGGCTAGTTTCAGAGCCGGCCGAATAGTCACCCCTGACGAAGAGACCGAATCGGTGCCGAGATGTCGGGTCAGCTTACAGTTTTTGAATCTTGACTTTAGAAATTCTGGAGAGGTATTTCACCCAAATGTGTTTACCTTTAAACTCACCAACCACTCTCTCAGTGAGATTTTATATATATATCTTGTTGCTTCGATGTCAAGGCAACAATTTTTCAGTTCGCTTTACGATGTGAGCTTGCTTGGCGTGCTGCCTCATTGCGAAGTATGCAAGCCGTATAGTAGCTTGCAGTATCGTTCGCACTTTGTGCTACAGGGCTGTCTGCAGAACCAGTGTATGTAAGAGAAAGTGCGCACAATGCGCTTTATTTGTTTCGGTCTCTGTGCACTAGTAGTGGAGACAGTCCTCCAACACAATGCGCCAATGATACTGCAAGCTGCTGTACACGGCTTCTATACTTCGCAATGGGCACGCCATGCAAGCTCACATCCCCTTCCAAACATCTCGCACCTTGTCGCTACCTGCAATGAGTGTTAGCTGAAAGGTTGGCCACGTGCTTTTCGGTGAAGTGGTAACAAAGGAACGTAGGGCTCATTCTGAAGGCACACTTCAAAAATTATTTTCTTTTTTAAAACAAAAAATAATTTGATTAGACTTTTTTTTCATTGCTTAATCATCGAATGGTCTATCAAACGCTGCATCGCGAGAATTTTCGCTTGGACCACATCAGCAGAAAAAATACGCTCAAATATGAGACACGTCGCATATTTCTGCCACTTTAAAATTTTTTGCCGGAAATATTCAAAGCTTAATTCGCCCCTAAACATTTTTGTACAACAGTAAGCTTTCCTGAAAACCACAATATTATTAATATTGCTTAAAGAGAGTTCCAGTTCACATAGGAAAAAAATGGCAATCTTTGAAATTTTTTGTGGTTTTTGAAAAGGCCTAACTGCTAGGCAAACGCCAAAATTTTTGTTTGCTTTAATAGCACTACTACACAAAACCTCTTCAGTAGTTCAAGCGCTGTTTCGGATTCCTGCAAGCAAATATCAATTTTATATACCGTAATTACTCGAATCTAACGCGCACCTTTTTTCCGGTTAAGCGAGTTCATAAATTGCATGCGCGTTAGAAAAGAGTACGAACAAAAAAATTACGGTCAATCTATTGCCATCGCAATTCCAAAATGGCCGCCCCCTACGTGCGTCGGCATGGTGCGTCAGCTATTTCTTGCTATGTGTTTACCATGTGCGGCACTTCGTACGTGTGCTGAGGAGTTCGTCATCTAGTAGTGCATTAGCATCGACGACGTGAAAGGGCCGACTCCAAAAACTCGAGTGCACCACGATGCCGCTTTTAAAAGAAAAGTCATCGCGTATGCAGAAACGGACGGAAATCGGGCCGCAGCGCGGTCGTTCCCGAAACGTGCGTGCGGGACCGGCGGAAACAAAAGCAGAAGATTGTCGACAGCAAAGCTTCACGCAAAGGCTTCAGTGAACCACAGCAGGGTCGGTTTCCGCAAATTAAAGAGCTGCTCCGCGAGTATGTGCTTGAGGAGCGAGTGGCACAGCGGCCCGTGACGACAGAACTGCTCCAAGTGTGGGCTATGCAATTAGTCTTAGAAAAAAGTCTAATGCGGAGCCAGTTTAAAGCGAGCAGGTGCTGGCTAATTAACTATATGAAGAGGAAAGGCTCTTCCCTCCGAAGGGGAACATGCATATGCGAAAACTTTTGCGGAGAAGTACGATGACAAGCTTTACAGTTTTCAGAGGTTCGTCCTAAACTTGCGGCGCAACAACGGCTACCTGCTTGGGCAAATCTGGAATGCCGATCAGACGCCTCTTTACTTCGACATGCCTGGCACCACAACTGTCGAGAAGGGGGCGAAGCAAATTCCCGTGCTGACATCGGTCCACGGTAAAACTACAGTGACGGCAATGCTCTGTTACACGTCAGATGGGCACAAGCTTCGCCCGTACCTCATATTTAAATGGAAGACAATCCCGAAAGGAATCGTTTTTTCGAGTGGTGTGATCGTGCGGGCCAGCGAGAAAAAATGGGTGCGCGTTGCAATCGATGTCTTACGTTTTTTTTTTTTTCGTGGTGGAAATCGGGTGCGCGTTACAATCGAGGGCGCGGTAGAATCGAGTAAATACGGTACTATTTTTCTATTGTGCACACTTCGGCAAAAGCAAGCGGACTTTGAGGGGGCTTCACGTTCTCAAAAAATATTTTCGAGCAAAAACGTTTGGCCACAGTACTCCATGGTGTATACGTGTAAATCATTATCAGCAGAATCTGGGATGGTCCAGCACCATGTCATGAAGACACCTAAATGACCCATATATATATATATATATATATATATATATATATATATATATATATATATATATATATATATATATATATATATATATATATATATAGAGAGAGAGAGAGAGAGAGAGAGATCAGTTGAGGTGAATCGGAACACGTGTTATGTTCAGGTAGCTAGCTAAAAATTTGCACTAAATTGCATATTGTAATTGCAAAATTTAAGCGGGGCAGCAATGAATTTATACGATATAATCAAAAGTCCTAGCTCTATAGTAACACATTCAAGAGATATATATATATTGAGACAAAACGCACTGGAATTTCTTATAACGTGGGAAGCATTTTGGACGTTACTTTCGAGTAACAGTATAGCTAGGTGGGTTAGTTTGCGCCACATTTTGATATAAATCTCTTTAAGCGCTAATAAACTTCTGAGAACTATTAAGGGAGCGCATGGGGTGCGGGTTTCTCTTCTTCCTGCTGCAACACTTATTTGCCCTCAAAATTTTGAATCAATACTACTTACCTTCAAGTACTGTACCCAAGGAAGTTGCTAAAACCTCGCACCTCCTGAAATCCTACATTTACCTCACCTTTATAAGTAGAAGGCTACAACGGCATAATGGGGACAAAGAGCCTTCCTCATCACCTGCGACCACGATACAATTGACAGAGCTTGCAGGTAGTTTTCTCAAAACTTGTGCAATGCCTTACTGTTAGTGGACTCAACTTGTGCTCAGCTTCCAGCTAAACCTGAAGCACTTGATAATGAAGTGAAATGAGCAAACTTTGTGAAGTAACGTTCAGCTCTTTAGAAGACGAACAAACACATATTAATTGCATTTTCTGTCATGGGCAATTTCTTCTACAGGAAGTTTTATTAAAAAATCTGTGGATGGATATAAAACGGGAGACATTAGACGCTCAAATCAAATCACAAATAATTATTGGGCAGCAATGTTTACTGTGTGCAACTGATTTTAAATACTGCAACAAGAAGCTAACAATTAATTTTATACATTTGAAGCAACGGTTAACAAAATGTTAAGCTTTTTTATATACATCTCTGTTCAAAATGTGCATTCAGCGACATGTGTATCAGTAGTTCGAAGTTAGCATACTGTATTTTGTTTAAAGGGAGACCTTGCTTCAAATTCATGGTATATATATATATTTTTTATAGGTTTTGATGAAACTTTCGCAGCTTATGAAATTTCGTGTCACGATTTCAAATATGCAATTATTTTCCAAGTACAACTTGCTGTTTTTACAATATTAGATATTTAATTTATATTGTTTGGAGCAAGATTAGTTTATAAATTGTGAGAGTTGTATAGCAAATCAGCATATCACAATAACCTGGAATGAATACTGCATGCAGTGAAGCAAGAATGGATGTTGCAAGCCCTTTTGAACAAAAGTTATGGTATGTTGCACATTCCCAGCTAGATTCCAGTTTGACCCAGCTTGACATCGCCCGCTCTTGCAAATGTTCAACCTGCCATCCGTAACTTTTGTTCACGTGGGTTTAGAACATCCATTTTTGTTTCACTGCATACAGTATTAATTGCAGGTTATTGTGACACGCTGACTCGCTTTCTCACGCTCACAGTTGCAAAATAAATCTTGCTCCTCACAATACAGAAACTATTTAAGAGTTTCAAAACTGCATACTGAATGAGAACAATAATTACATGGTTGAAATGAGCACATCAGAATACACAACATGTGAGAATTTCGTAACAATATAACACAACACGCGCTTCTGAAGCAGGGTACCCCTTTAAGAGTTCCAGCCTTACTGTTGCATTGTTTGCCCTATAATACTGCGATCACATTAAATATCCTCATCCGCAGTGAAAAAATGAAAGGGGAATGGATTGGGAGCCAGTTTCTAGGTTAGACACAAGCTGGTGAAGCCAACAGACTAGGCCAAGAAAAACTTAGCAGCTATAACAAATACATGTATGAGCAAAGAAAAGGAGCCAACAATTGGTACAGCCATAAAATTCCTCAGGACCATGGCCAACATGAAAATTTAGAGCAGTTTCTCACTTTGGGTTGTTCACAAAGCAGTATTGAAACACGAGCGACACAGGATAGTTCAGCTGAATTTTATCGTTAGGTTGCTGAAAGGTGACCAGGCAGTTCATTGCTTGCATATCTAATGCATTTTTCAAGTTATAATGAAAAATTGAGCAAGCAGTGTAGCAAGTAAAGTGTAAATAATAATATGACACACTGTTGCAGCAGAATTTAAGTAGGAATGTATCCGAAGTAAACACGATTTCCTTGAGGCTGCCAAAATAGCATAGGTCTCTGCTTAACTTCCCAAATCCAACATTGCAAGACTGGCAACCAGTGTTGCTGTTCTGAGGCAGACAGAGATGTTGTAGCAAGTGGTACAGTGTGTCAGATATGCAATAAAGTGTGGGGCACAATAACTACATTCTTGTCGGTGTTTTGAAGCTTTGCTGCATCATAATGTGCCAACACACTGTCCTGTAGCTACGAATGCAATACAGCACAAGAAGGTAGCAACGCAGTGCAATGTATTTGAGAGAGATAAGAAAGCACGAGAACCCTTCATAGGCAGTTGCACGCTTGTTTATTGGTGAAAGTGCTCGATGAAGTCAACAATGCCTGCACACTTAAATACATATCTCAGGGGCCTTAAAAGATGGCAGCAGTGAGCATCTTTAGTGCCCTCCTTTCGTTCACTAACGCTTGTTTGACAGCTTGCAACAACTTCACGCCTCGGCTCGACTAGCTGCACCTATTAGTCTCGACACACCATTGCCTTCTAATAACATTTCAACACATAGCGTTGTCAGCTATCTTAATTCCTTTTTTCATCACAAGAAATGTGGCATGTGGGAATCACACCTACTGGGATTACGAGTTATATTTTGCAACAAGGAAATAATATAAACACACATGAGGGGGAAAAAAAAAAACACTTGACAAACAGACTTGAGGCCGCCCGTGCCTTCGAAGAAAAAAAAAAAAACTCATCCCACCACGCACAACCGTGACTTGCATGCACAAGTGTGGCAGAGAAGTTAACGCCGCCGATTTTAACTTTTTTGAATTCTCTTCCCGCAGCTCTGCTGAAGAATACGGCGTGCACAAGACCAAATAAAGAGACGGTGGAAAGAGACCCACGAAAAGTTACAATGACGCCCCCCTCTTCCCAGACTGCACACACACAGTTCTCTTGTTTGCACAGGGCTATGGCCTTCTTTAAGGCCACGACCTTGTCCATTTGGTGGTCCAAAAGTGGTGGTGGCACCAGTCAGACTGACAGCCTTCCTTTCACTGGGGGACGGGAGGTGCCAGCTGGGAAAGCACAGTTATGGTCTTGAACAGCAGGTTCCTCAGCAACATCGGGCAGCCGGGCCTCGACGCGTAGTGCTCTGTCACCAGGCGCAACTCGTGAAACACGGTCCTGCGCAAGTGGAAGGGAACAAATTTTCACTGTTAGTTGTCCATGCTTGCATTTCACTTCATTACAAGGTCTGTTCGCTTTATCAAGACAACTGGTACATACTATTTCAATTTTTTCAATATAGTTGTCTGGGGTGTAAATACATCAAGTACAGTTAAACCTGCTTGTAACGAACCTCCATATAACAAATTCCTGGATATAATGAAGTTTTTCTATTCCCCGCCATCCCACCATAGGAGCACATAAATTTGCGACCTCTATGTAACAAAGCAACTGCGGGAGACAACCTTGATATAACGAATTTTCCCCACGGACAATCTTATAATTTTGCACCGCATTTCGGTGTTTTGGTACGAGCATGCATCTTCGGGTGCTGCCCCGCCGCCGCCACCGCTTCGCGCTTTGGCGGCGGGCACGCGGGTCACGTGAGGCGGGCCTGCACCCTACGAGCCAGCGTTGCCCCCTTTTTCTCGCCGCCGCAGTCGAATGCGCGGGTGTGCCCCCTCTGAAAAAAAAAAAGATACATTTGCGTGTTCGCAGTGCCACACTTTCAGTTAGCGTCACATATGTGAGGCCGCGCTGCATCTAAAGGACGCCTTACCCAATAGTTTCCACGGTAACCATGTCTATGTCCATGTCGTTCGCTCTTCGTTTTCCACGCCGTGCGCGCGTGCATAGTTTCACTGCGCACGCATGGTGTGTCCCCCGACAACATTCAGCTTCGATTTTTTTTTATTGCAGTAGCAGTTATGTATACGGGCAGTTTCGGCTGGGTTTTTGCCACCGCCGCCTTCATTCACTGTATATATTGTTACGGTGCATCATCGACAGGAGCAAGCGTGGCACTTTGCGAAGATGAGGAAGACGCCTGTGTGTTAGGCGCTTGCGCGCGAGGCAACGCAGACATCTTGTTCGGCTGCTGATTCTCGGTGGACGCTATCTCGCCCCGTCACATTTGGTGGAGGTGCTGGGTAACCGCCTCGCAACGGAACTTCGCAGCGGCCGTCGTTTGAAGGGTCATTCCACAACGATGACGGAAAGTACGGCGTCTGCATCTGCTCCTGGTGTTCCTGCGGCCGGAGAATGATGCGGTAGCTACATCTCCTTCTGCGAACACAACCTTCGTGCTCTAACCCCCGCGGGATCCTGGCACGTTCAGCGGTTCTGGCGACCCAGATGAAGTTGACGTTGAAGATTGGCTGGCAGAGTACAAACGTGTGAGTACTCGATACCGATGGGGCCCGACTCTTATTCTGGCGAACCTGCTATCTTAGGGGAACCGCAAAATCGTGGTATGAGAACCATGAAACAGAACTTGGGAGTTGGGCAGTGTGCAGAAAGAAAATGTTGGACCTGTTCGGAAAGCCGGTTGGAAGAAAAATGGCCGCGAACAAAATGCTCGCGTCTCGGGCGCAGACCTCGACCGAGTCTTACGTCTCCTATATAGAAGATGTGTTAACGTTGTGTCGCAAAGTCAATGCCGAGGTGCCGGGAGGCTGACAAGGTTGGACATATTCTTAAGGGGATTGCGGATACGCATTCAACCTCCTCATCTGCAAAAAAAAGAAAGCATTTCCCCGAGGATGAACATGGTTAAGTGCGAATGCACGGGGTGATGCTATGAGGGGGAGTAAAGTTAAAATCCGTTGGCGACGCTGATATCGGTGTCAGTAACGCGCCTTATATCCGAATGGTAGCGTTGCCTCAGGGACATCCATCGCACGACCCACTCTCGACGGGAGACTGAGAGAGAAAGCGGGCGCGCGAGAGAGAAGGGTGCGCGCGCAGCTGCAGCGAGCGAGGAGAGCGGAGGAGCGAGCGAAGGGGGAGGGGGACTATCAGCGTCGCGTCCGTGGCTTATTCGGTAGAGCGTCGCGCTGCGGCCCGCCAAGTCCTTTATCTTTTAAAGATAGAGAGAAGACTGCGGACGCCGCCGACAGCGGTGGATGGTTTGTGGTCGCTTATAAAGTGTATTCACACTTAAAATTTTTCTACAGTGGACGCCATTATAAAAGAATGCCGGCGCTTTGGGCAAGCAAAGAGCCGGCGGATTAACAGCGTGTTTACCCGCCTTCCGAATATGGCTGCAACGTCGTCTTGCGAAGACCGTGCAACACAGCTGCCACCTCTAGATTCATCTGATCAGGTGACCCGAATTGTACGACGTGAACTTGAAGCCATTGCCTCTGCTCCGGCTCACACCGCTGCAAGTAACACGACCCCACTCTATGCTAACATGGTTCAAGCCATCGTCCGCCAAGAACTCGCCAGCATAGGTATTCCCTCGGTGTGCGCTTTGCCCATCCCGCAGCGAGCTCCATGGCGTCCACTTTCGTCCTATCACGAGCAGCAGTTCACGGCCCGATCTCGCGACCCTGCTGCGTGGAGAACCGTCGACAATCGACCAATTTGTTTTCATTGCCACCGTATCGGTCATGTCATCCGTCACTGCAATTACCGCTGGTCCTTGCCACCTCAGACTTCATCTCAACCTCACTACCGACAGGACAGCACCCGCTTCGCCTCTGCCGCACAGCATTCTCCACCCAACAACTACAGAAGGTTCAACAGCCGATCTCCGTCACCGCATGGTCATCAGTCGCGTTCGCTTCCAGGACGTCGCCAGTCATCTCGCTCACCGCAGACTCGCAGGCCGTCGTCCCCATTCAACCCCGCTCCTGCCTACCCGGAAAACTGAACGGTGCAGCGCCCGGAGGTGACGCTGCATTTTCGACTCCCTCCACAAATCCTCTCTTGACGCTTCCGACGAGACAAAGTTTGTTAGACGTTGACGGTGTGGCTATTTCTGCCCTTATAGATACTGGAGTGCACATTTCTGTAATGAGCGCGAACCTTCGCCGACGCCTACATAAAGTGCTCACGCCTGCCGCTTCCCGCACACTTCGTGTCGCTGATGGGAGGACCCCTCACATTCAAGGAATGTGCACGGCCCGTGTGTCCATTGCTGGTCATCCTACATTAGTTCAGTTTGCCGTCATTGAAATGTGTCCTCATGACCTAATACTTGGTTTGGACTTCCTGTCACGTCATTCTGCGCTCACTGATTGTGCCACTGGTGCTCTTCAGCTTGAACTGCCGCAGTTTGCCGATTTTCCAGCTGACTATTCTCCCCGTTTATGCTCTCGTCACCATGTTCGCTTGTCTCCGCGAGCTGCTACATATGTCACTTTGTCGTGCTCACGTCATGTGCCCGATGGTGACTACCTCGTCACTCCTATAATCGACGTACTGATGGCCCGAGACGTCGCCCTTGCTCACACTGTTGTCGCCGTTGCTAATAATACAGTGGTTATACCACTACTCAACGTGAGTCTCTTGACTCAAGTTATTCCGCAAGACATGTCTTTCGCCACCCTATCTCCACTTGACAGCTGCAACGTTTGGACACCGATACTATAGTATGGTTTCGACACCGATACTACATCCCCCTGTCTTGGCCGCAATTACACTCTGCCTGCACATGACATTAACAAGATGATTGCTCCCGACCTCACTGCAGCGCAAGCTGCCAGCCTCCGTAGTCTGCTAACATCATATAGAGACGTTTTCGACTTTGACCACCCCCCTCTCAGCCAAAGAACTGCAGTGACTCACCGGATCAACACTGGTGATGCCAGTCCTATACGGCGGCGTCCATATCGCGTATCTCATAAGGAATGCCAAGTAATTCAGAATGAAGTGGACAAAATGATTACTAAAGACGTAATAGAACCATCATCCAGCCCCTGGGCCTCTCCAGTCGTGTTCGTTGAGAAGAAGGATGGCAGCTGGCGCTTCTGCGTGGACTGTCGCCATTTAAAAAGTGACCCACAAAGATGTCTACCCTTTGCCTCGGATTGATGACACCCTCGATTGCCTCCATGGTGCCCAATACTTTTCGTCTATCGACCTTCGGTCCAGCTATTGGCAAATTTCCGTCGACCCCATGGATCGTGAAAAAACCGCTTTCGTTACGCCCAACAGCCTCTAGCAGTTCAAAGTCATGCCGTTTGGACTGTGTAATGCGCCGGCAACTTTCGAGCGCATGATGGACTCCCTCCTCCGAGGCTATAAGTGGTCCATCTGCTTATGTTACTTGGACGATGTCATCGTCTTTTCACCTACCTTTGACAGCCATATAACACGTTTGTCAGCCGTTCTGGATGTTTTTCGAAGAGCTGCTCTTCAGCTCAATTCTGCAAAATGCCATTTCGGACGTCGCCAAATCACCATACTCGGTCACCTTGTCAGTGCCGATGATGCTCAACCAGATCTCGAAAAGGTGCGAGCAGTACAACAATTTACTAAACCACGCTCAACCAAGGACGTCCGAAGTTTTGTAGGGCTATGTTCCTATTTTTGTCGATTTGTCCGCAACTTCGCCGACATCGCTCGACCCCTTACTGATCCCTTAAAGAAGGACGTTCCCTTCGCATGGGGCATAGAGCAAGCGGACGCCTTTTCGGCTCTTATCCATCTGCTGACTACGCCACCAATACTGGCCCATTTCGACCCTGCATCACCTACAGAGCTTCGGACCGATGCCAGTGGCCATGGAATTGGAGCGGTCCTTGGCCAACGACAGCACGGGAAGGACCGCGTGATTGCTTACGCCAGTTGTCTTCTTTCACCTGCCGAACGGAAGTTCTCCATCACGGAGCGTGAATGCCTAGCTTTAGTGTGGGCTGTGGCGAAATTCAGGCCTTACCTGTATGGCCGAACTTTTTCCGCTGTTACGGACCATCATGCTCTTTGCTGGCTGTCATCGCTAAAGGACCCATCTGGACGTCTCGGTCGCTGGGCGCTCCGTCTGCAAGAATACTCGTTCGTGGTCCACTACAAGTCGGGACGCCTGCACACAGACGCAGACTGTTTGTCACATTATCCGGTTGAAACGCCCGACTTGACAGACCTTGATTCAGACCCCTGCGTTTTCTCCATCCACGCTTTGGCTGATATCTCCACCGAACAACGACGTGACCCGTCGTTACTATCCATCATCGAGCGTCTCACCTCTGCTCCAACAGACCCTTCCGTTCGCCTGTTCGAACTGCACGACAACATTCTGTACCGTCGCAGCTTCAACGCTGATGGCCCGGAATTACTACTCGTGCTTCCCCATCACCTGCGTACCAGCATTCTCGAACAACTACATGACGTAACTACAGCCGGTCACCTAGGTCTCTATCGTACCTACGATCGTGTGCGACGTTGCTTTTTCTGGCCCGGACTGTATCGTTCTGTGGTTCGCTACGTCACTGCTTGCGACCGCTGCCAACGCCGCAAGCGCCCCTCTGTGCTACCGTCTGGCCTGCTACAGCCCATTGACATACCGACGGAACCATTCTTCAGTATTGGCCTTGACTTGTTGGGCCCGTTTTCTACATCCACTTCCGGAAATAAATGGGTTGCAGTCGCCACAGACTACGCCACACGCTTTGCCATCACTAAAGCACTGCCGACAAGCTCTTCCACTGACGTCGCTGACTTTCTCTTGCATGAAGTCATTCTTCATCACGGCGCTCCACGGCAGCTGCTTACTGATTGAGGAAGGTACTTTCTTTCACGTGTTGTGGATGACATTCTCCGCGCCTGCTCCACTGAGCACAAGCTTACCACCGCTTATCATCCACAGACAAATGGATTGACCGAGCGTCTGAACCGAACACTCACGCAGATGCTGTCAATGTACGTTTCGCAAGATCACCGTGACTGGGACAAACCACTCCTCTTTGTCACGCTTGCGTACAATTCTTCACGGCACGACACAGCTAGTTATTCGCCGTTTTATTTGCTATTTGGCCGACATCCAGCATTGCCATTTGACACGCTCCTTCCTTCCGCTGCCCCCTTGTCTACTGAGTACGCCAGCGATGTCGTTTCTCGAGCCCATGCAGCCCGTCGGCTTGCCTGTGATCGGCTGCACTTGTCGCAAGCGCACCAAAAAGACCGCTATGACAGTCGCCACCAAAGCGTGCACTTTTCGCCGGGGTCTCTGGTACTTCTCTAGACACCAAACCGCCAAGTTGGCTTATCAGAAAAGCTATCACACTACCATGGTCCCTACGAAGTGTTACGACAACTTAGTGACGTGAACTATGAGATCGCACCCCTAAACAATGCCTCTTTGACCCCCTTACTCCAGACAGACGTACACGTTGCCAGACTCAAACCGTATCACCCTCCTCGTTCGTCGCCGCCGTACTAAGCGCCGTGACGGCGCTTCCGCCGCAAGGGAGTGATGTTACGGTGCATCATCGACAGGAGCAAGCATGGCACTTTGCGAAGATGAAGAAGATGCCTGTGTGTTAGGCGCTTGCGCGAGAGGCAACGCAGACATCTTGTCTGCGTTGCCTCTGTTCGGCTGCCGATTCTCGGTGGATGCTATCTAGACCTCGCCCCGTCACAATATGTATAGTATATGTATACGTACCTATATAAATAGGAACTCGAGAAAAAAAAAAGCCGCCCGTGCTCCGCTCGTCACATCATGACAAGCCGAGCACATGTGGCTTTTTTTTTAATGTTATCTCCCACTTGTACTTTGCCCCGCGAATGCGAAAAGGAGAACGGGGGGTTATATTCTTGTGCGCGCTTATCCTTCGGTGGGGAGAATCACGCGCCTTCGACTTTGACCGGAACGATTGCGTTTGCTCTTTCAGACTGTCCCTTTCCGTTGAAACCGCACTGATACTCGCCGAGATAGCAAGCACGCTAGCGATCGCGACTGCCCCGCCCCCCTCCTCACGTTGTTTCATGCTCGTTTAAGACGGGTGGTTTTATTTCTGTTTGAGCATTCGATGGCAGTTCTAACACGCGGGTGATGTTATGCACTTTCCAGGCGATATGGATGGGCCGACTCATTTGATCTCTGCTTCAGTAGCGCTCTTGCGCTTTTACCCGCTTGTGAATGTTACAATGCGCGGGGCATGTTGTCGGTTTGGACTTGTTGCGGAACATGGCGGGGACAGCAAGAACCCGCTGAGAGTGTCCATATAATTGCTACCGCGATAACAACGCAGTTTTTCACTGTATAATGAGTGTTTGGGGTTAGCTCTGCCTTCAGTCCCCCTTTTGTTTAATTTGCGCGTTTATTTTTCGAATTTTCATACTGAACCTCCATATACTAAAAACCTCTTCATAACGAATTTTTCCAAGAATTAATTAATTTCATTATATCCAGGTTTATCTGTACAATGTTATATTTCCTTGCTGCAAAGGCTTCTTGAAAGTCTGCTGCCGTGATCTCTAAGACTCCGCCCCGCCGCGGTGGTCTAGTGGCTAAGGTACTCGGCTGCTGACCCGCAGGTCGCGGGTTCAAATCCCGGCTGCGGCGGCTGCATTTCCGATGGAGGCGGAAATATCGTAGGCCCGTGTGCTCAGATTTGGGTGCACGTTAAAGAACCCCAGGTGGTCAAAATTTCCGGAGCCCTCCACTACGGCGTCTCTCATAATCATATGGTGGTTTAGGGACGTTAAACCCCACAAATCAATCAATCAATCTCTAAGACTCTGTGAAGGCCTGGCAACACCATTGATATAGGGACCTTTCACGCTTCTTTTCAGCTTTGGGAGCAGGAGAGTCAGCCAAGCTCAGGTAAGGGCTGTATCGGGGCTGCATTGGCCCTAATGTGAGCACTCTCTCGAGAGAGTTCAGCCCGTTTTTGAATCTCAAGATAGAAACCAACAAGGTCACTGCTTTGACAGTGCTACCACCAGCCAACAGGCTGTCGCAGTGCCTTGAGTGAGGTTATGGCAGCAGACTTTCAAAGGACCTTCAAAGCAGGTAAATCGTACACTACTCAGTATATCAATGCCCATGGAGCCTATTTCAAAAAATTTAAACAGCGTGTACCATTCGGGACAATAGCTTTTTCCACCAGACTCGGTTTCATTAATCTGTGGACAGACCCTGTACGATCAGTACATCAGAAACCTACACCCATAGCCGACAAAAATGGCCCTCACATAAGAATACACAAAGCTTAAACATGGATACATCGAAACAAATCGAATGAGTGCCAGGCTTTCTCGCAATACACTAGCAGATAACATTGGTGTAGGCAGCATATACAATCACTCAAAACAGATTGATACAGCAATGATGATATGATATGTGGGGTTTAAGATCCCAAAACCACCATATGAATATGAGAGATGCCGTAGTGGGGGGGCTCCGGAAATTTCGACCACCTGGAGTTCTTTGAAGTGCACCCAAATCTGAGCACACGAGCCTATAACATTTCCGCCTCCATCGGAAATGCAGCCGCCGCAGCCGGGATTAGATCCCGCGACCTGCGGGTCAGCAGCAGAGTACCCTAGCCACTAGGCCACCGCGGCGGGGCAGTGATACATCAAGTCTGCTGTTTATCTGGTCTGTTTTGAAATCAATGCAGCATAGTTTATCAAAAAAAAAGTGAAAAGACTACAAATTTTTAATCGGTTCAAATTAGAATAACAGTTCTTTACACTCAAACAGCTTTTACTTTTGAGTGTAAAGAACAGTTATAGGAAGTTGACTTGATTGGCGATATGTAGGCTTTACTTTCTTTTCTTATGCACTGTGCTGCATTGAACTCCCTCGGCAAGCTATTTCGTGCTCTCCAAGGAAAATTTGATCTACTGCTTCTAATGGGCATGTTTCAAAGAGGGACGTGCTTTTTTTCAGTGCTGCTGTATCAGATGAGCTTGCACATCTGTAGGCTCTGTATATTGTACTACACATGAACAGGCTCTCAAGCCACAGATGTATTAGAGAAAGAAGTGGTCAGCGACATACGAGACTGTACGCACCTTGTGTAGGGATTGCGACGAGAAGCGTAACGCAGGCTAACGAAGCGGTAGTAGACAAAGGGAGTCAGCAAGCTGCTCCGTCCACTGCGAACCCAAACATACCATGTATTGACGCATACCTCTTGGAGGCAAACATAAGCAAATAAACCGAGACAACAGCCAATGAAATACATTCCTATACAGTGCTAACAATTTATTCTACTCTGAATGCCAGTGGAAGTTCTAAATGTAGCTTTGTATAATGTCCTTATAAAGGAGAGATGTCTGCTATAACACCATTCCTTTTAACGACCCCGCTGTTCGAAAAATCAATGGTTTGGTCTGTTATAAAACAATCCTGTACAGTGCCAACATCTTATTTCAATTCTAATGCCAATGTATGTTTTAAATTTGGCTTTCTATAATGCGCTTATAAAGGGGAGATGATTGCTAGAACATCATTCATTTAAACAACTGCAGTTTTTTGAAAAAGTGATGGCTTGGTAAATGCCTCGCATATGTGGTGCAATCAAATCAACATATTTTAAAACAGAAATATGCGCAGTCACAGTAGTTTGTAAAGCTCACAAACACAGCGCTATTCCAGCAGGACTTATTCCAGAACTAGATTGCCACATAGCAGTACACGATGTTGCTGCATAGAAAATTGCCACTGAAGGTCGTGCTGCTGCTGCTCAGCATGAATTAATTGCATGCGCCAATGTAACCCCACTCGATCTCTCTTTGCCCTCGAGACGAACCAATATCCATTTAACACAATAAAGAAACCTCAATACGTACGACAGAACACTGAACACTGTGAGTGGCATGAGGAAGATTTCAGTGAATGCCACAAGGCGAAGGATGTTCCTGCCTTGGTGGTCCAGCAGATTTACCAGCCAGGTGCCAAGAAGACCAGAACGGCCACCCATCTTCTGCATGGACAATGTGAAGCATTGACAATGCATATATAATGTGGGACACTAAAGACAAAACAATTTTTCTCGTGCACTATCATCACAAGATAAATAATGCTGCACTCCACAAAGACACATCAATATACACGACGCACAATCTACCTATCTTAACAAAGAGTGCAATACATTTGTCTTAATGAGTAACCAACAACTCGCTTGAGATGGGTTAAAAAGATTGTGAAAAGATCTCTCCAAGAGTGACAACACTGGAACCGCTGGCAGCCATACGCAGTAGCTAGGTGACGTCAGACTAGCAGAATAGACCTGCATGGACGCTTTGCTTATCAAGAAATGCGGAACTACAGAGCACCTGCAAGTGTATGCAAGACTCATCGTCATCTTTGCCCTACATGATCTGTGTACCGCAAGAACGCTGCTTGGTACAACGTGAGCTGTATAGTCATGGGGACTGCATGCAGGGAAAGTGAAATGGTGCCTCCAATGCTATTAGATCAACCCAGACGACGAAAGAAATCAAAAGTGTCTTACTTAATAGAAGGCTGTAATACTGCATATACACTTCATTCAAAATTTTTGGAAAACTTTTCACATTTTTTCACTACCCCTTTATTTGACACTTGATATTCAGGTGTCATTCTAGAGGGAACGTCCACAATGAAAATTTGACCAGCAATGTCTCTTTTAGCAACGGGACTACAATGGCAAATCTAATACCAATAGTTCACAAAATGTTTATTGATTTGAAGCAGTCTAAAGCGACTTTCTTTCACTTTAGTGTCCCTTTGATTAAGAGTACTTACGTCCAGCAAGGTCAGTGAAAAGCTTGCAGAGTGAAGCAGAGAGAAGAGAAACACAGGCAGCAGCACCACTGTAGCGATAAGTCAAGGATCCAACAATAATCTCAAAAACTTGAGCATGTGTCACAAATTACTGGTGTCAAATGAAAAACGGCGGCAAGCATTCGCAGTGGTATAGCGCTTGCCTTCCAGTTATTACAAGGAACAGGCAGGCACATTTAGTTTGGCAGCATTGCGAGCATTTACTCGCCTGTGCACAATATTAACTGGAGTGCGCGTGCTATATCAATGTGAATGGCTGCCACTGTAGCAGTTTGTGTTTTACCCGACACCAATCGTACATAAAGGGCAAGAAGGGCATGGCTATGCAAGCCAACTGCTAAGAATACAATATACTGAAAACTGAAAGAGATGGTTAGGTAAGTGGTCACACCAAACATATTTTTCGAAGCCTGTCCTCACCAGGCTCCATCGAAAACTTCGGCCACACGCTAGAATCTGCCGGGTCGGACGTCCCAGGAGCACCTTGCTGCAAGATTTCTCAGACTTGCCGACTACTAGGGAAGAATGAAGAAAGTGAAATGCTGCAACACCATATTGGTAGCAGGCGTGCTTCAGCACCAATCACCTCAGCAGCTTTTCTTCCCTGCCTTCTCCAATACCATAACTTTAGCTTGTGATTGATTGATTGATATGTGGGGTTTAACGTCCCAAAACCACCATATGATTATAAGAGACGCCGTAGTGGAGGGCTCCGAAAATTTCGACCACCTGGGGTTCTTTAACGTGCATAACTGCTCTTACTATTGTCACTATGTGACACACTCCCAGGGGGTGAGATAGTGCATTTCTGTACAGAAATTTTTCCAAGGTCCCATGCCATAAGTGACCACACAGGCAGTGCGTTTTAGCCGGGCACTCATGCCATGCAACTGACTATCTCACTGGCAGTTAGACTATCGAAGAGAAAGGCGTACACTGTCGTTCTTTAAGAAAGAGAACACGTGAACACGTGGCCTGCGCTCTGCGGCGGCTGCCTACAGCACCATCAGCCGACAAATGAAGAAAGCACGCTTGCTTTTCGAGTCATCTATGACCAAGCAAGATAACGAGTTATGGCCGGTAGACAAGCGTACTAGATTACTTTGATCGCTCGCGCGGCGAGCCATATCAGGTGATTACTGCATCTTGCACTGTGGTCGCGAACAACGTTTGATGTGCTGGCATTGGACTATGCACTGCAGGCGTGAGCAGAAAGAGAGCGCAATCTAGCAGCGCTTGTCTACCGGCCATAACTCATTATTTTATTTCGGCAACAGATGACGCTGAAAGTGAACGTGTTTCCTTTTGCTGTCGGTTGAAGGTGCTGTAGGCAGCCGCCGCAGAGCGCAGGCCACGCGTTCCCTTCCATAGAGGACGACAGTGTGCATCAACTTCTACTGTAAACTTCTACCTATTCTCTGCCGTGCGACTACTTGGTACCTTGGAGACAAAATCTCCACCATGTGATGACCTACCATGTCATGCTATAGTTGCCAGTATGCGGTACCAGAACCTGGCAAGAAACCTTTCAATACTGTTCACCAAGCTGTACCATACAGCTTTAATACACATTGAAATATGATGGTAAAGTGAAGCAGAGAACATTTGAAGAAGACAAAACACGAACAGAGCATGGCTGGGCTATGTCCATCTTTAACATTCTCTTTAAAAAAAAATTAATTCTGTAATAGTGTCATAAGCAGCAGATATCGACTGATTTTCTGGGCAAGTGGTCGGTAACGCCGGTGCCTCACTGATCATGCCTCTGGCAGACAAAGCTGCATACACAGGGGGCATGGTCAAAAGCTGCATACAGCGTCTCGTTTAAAATTCTGTGGCAATATATTGCAAGACCATAATACACACAAATGTACACACATAGATGTTAAGCCTTAATGCTGTCATTACTACCTAAGATATAAATCATATAGGACTTTAGTTTTCAGACCTGCTCATTCTAACATTGGAAAGTCATACATGTAAAGCAGTATGTACGGTCACTTTTTCTAGTTTCACGGAATGCCACTCACGCATATGATAAATCTGGAAGAGTCAAAGCAAGCTGCTTGTAGAGGGCACTGCCAGTGTTCCTTGTAGCATGTGGCCACAGGGAGGCACTGCTGTCCACCGAGTGTATATATGGGATATGGGGAGAGGGAATAAAGTTCGTTTGGTTTCCGCTTGCCAGGAGTCCACCTTGCTTCTCGGTTCCCGGGCTAAACACTGCTAGCATCGGGTGTTTAACTAGAATGAGCCTTGTGCCAATCAGGCGACGATGCAGCCTATTTAACCACGATAGCATCTACAAACCATTATATCTGGTTTTCTTTAACCTACACTACGACCATGCCAGTTTTTGACCTGTGCTATGCCTGTGAGACTCAGTTATGCCGGTTGCTCCAGAACGCTGGCGTGCCGCGTAGTTTCGAACACCTTTTTGTTTCAAGGAACACAAACCATTCCAAGGATACACGTCATGGGCTGGGCGAACAAGAAGATGAGGGAGTAGAAAAGGTAGTGGCAGCTGTCCTCGATCAGGAGTTGGCTCAAGAACATTCGAGAGAGCTGAATGCTCGGCATGCGCTGGTGTAACCGAAGCGCACTCGTGGCAGCACTGCTTATCAAAGCTCGCTGGTAGCAGGTGTAGGAGTTAGCACTAGAACGGGGAAAAAAAAAGAAAGTATACGATGCTGTCGATTAAAACGCTGTTAAGCTGGATTCACCGCTAAATGTAGGGCGCAGTAAGGCGCGTGAAGGCATACTTACTCGAGCAGTGGAATGATGTAGAGGATTGTGAACACCACCGAACACATGCGGGTGAACCACAGCAAGCTTTCGATCTTGTGGATGGACATGTGGTTCTGTAACGAAGTTTGCAGGCGCGGGATCACTCGCAAATGCAACGAGGGCTCGTGTGCTAGTAACGGAGCCGTCATCAGCAGAGGTCATACTCACAATGACTTCTGAAAACCCGCGTGGTGTAGCGGAGGTCGGACCTTCCCTGTTTTCGTCGCCCATTTTGCCGCAGGTAAGTAGGTCTGGAGAGTGGACGCTGGTCCGCAAGATTCGATTTCCCGTACGAACCTGCAGCGGTTAAGTGCACTCTGCGAGGAAAAACGAGCGCCTCAACAATTCCGTGCGTTGACGTTTCCACTTATTTTCAGTCTCAACAGGCGTAGCAAAGGGAAATAACAAACGTACTACGTGAGCTATCAACAGTTTAGGCTGAACGCGGCCGGTAAGAAACCTCGACGCTATACTATAAGTGGTAAGCAACGGGTGCCACGGCATGGACGTACGTACCAAGAACACAACTTTCTGGAAACTCGGCGTTTCAGAGAGGGCCACACATTTCTGAGCTGGAGGGGAGAATTCACTCGCTTTATCACAAATATCCTCCTGCAGCTTGCAGAGAACACAGCTGAAAATGCTGGAAATTCGATTCAGTGTAGCCAGACTGCCTGCTTATCATCCACCAGTTCCCGCGGATTCTGGAAAACGACAAAAACGCATTGTGCATGCGATGCACGCGCTGTTTCGCTATCTCGAGTCTTTTTACTGACGCGATATTGTGGAAGAGCGCGTTTCGTAGAAATTTCCGTGGCGTTGGCGCCTTTGGCTGTGAGCGGAAAAATGCCGCCGCCTTCCCAAAGGTAATCGTGAGGAAATGCAAATGCAATGCGTAGCACTGATAACGGCGTTTCGCACGCGAGAACCCAGCGTTAGAAGAATAATGTTTTCTTTAAAGACGGTAGTCTTTCTGGGGTGTCTGTACATTTGTCTGTTTGTCTGCGCTAACGATATTTTAAACGTATTTAAGTCATTACCCTGTGCCCAAGTTCCAATAATTAGTCAAACGGCCAACCCCATCCGCAGCACCCATCAATACTGCTTAAGTTTCAGCATTCATACTAGTAAGATTGTCAATTAAAAAGCAATTATTGTGCATATCTGAGGCACCAAAACAACACGTTGATATTTTCCATGTGTAGCTTCATACAATAGAGAAGGCACACATAAGACCGTAGCGTTTATCACTCTGCGCCGACAGTGCAACGCGATGCTCAAGAAGGCAAGTGTTTCCAACGCTTTGCTAAGATAACACGGTGATGGCACCTGTCCATCGCATTGCGTTCTACACCTTATCACCTCCAAAACAGGCACGCATCTTTCTCCGTGGGCGCGCACGCCTTCCTTCATTTTCGAAGATAGCTGCCAGATAGCGCTCGTGTCTAATGTGCCTCGATGCGCTCGTTCGCCTTCACTGCACTGATCGAGACTCTTTAGCACAGTGCTTCCAGAATACAATTCACCAATTTCCTCGCGCAGAACATCAAATAAATGTTTTGTTCACTGTCTCCACACGCAAGACTATCGTCTTTCGATGACATTTTCAGTGAAACATGAAGATACGGGGTCAATTTTGTTTTCTTACATCGTGCAGCCAATAATGCCGTTCACCGCACGGGGCGTTTTTCTGTCGCGAGAAATGCGATATGCTTTTGCACTGGTTAAAAGATACTATCAAGTGAACAAAACAAACAGCGTTCTCGGCTCGGCGTTGGCGTTTCACAGCGGCGTCTCGAGCACACGTTTGCGGATGTTCTTAAGAGGCACCCAGCCAGCGAACGGTCGAGAGAGCGGACGGGAAAGTGGGGTGCATGGAGGAGAGAGAGCGAATGGCGAGAGAAGGTGTTGGTGGCAGTGGTTAGAAGAAAAAGAAGACGCCTAATTTCTGCAGGCCCGGTTGGGAGCACGGCGAAGTGCCTGGAGAGAAGGAGCAGCGAAGCACTGCCCCTACCCTCTTCTACACTCTCTCGCATCACACGCTCCGACTGCTAGGGGCGAGGATAAGCGCGCGCTCCCACAGCTGTTGCTATGGCAGAGGATAGATAACACCTGCCGACGCGCGGACAACGCTGCATGCCTGACATAGCGCGACTAAGCAATGCATTCGCATTTAAAAACAGCGTTGTATGCGAGTGCAATGCGAGGCAGGTGCACACTGAAAGAAGAGCGTCCACGCTTCGGCTTTTCTTGCGGCATCGCGCGGCCTCCGAAACACATGTCTGGCATTAAATTTTGGGAACAAAAATATTTTCAGAAATCTCCAGGTCGGTTAGGCATCTTGTCCTCGAGAGAGCTTTTATTCCACCACCCCAGGATGGAAGCCTTTGTGATAGGTGTTCTCGTTTAAATTTTTTTTGCAGCCAGTACAAGGCATTCATATTATATTGTTCGAAACTCTAGTCAAGAGTGGCCGTTTAGCGCAGTCAAAAAGAAGAAAAAGGTGGGTGTTTAACACAGTATGTGAGACACTCGGTATTATTATTTATTTATTTTTATTTTTAATTAGGTTTTTATGTAAGTTATTATCTAATACTAATAAAAACTTATAGTTAGTTCATTTCCTTGATCAACAAAATTTCGTTCAAAAATTTGTAACGTTTTCATTTTATGACCTCCATTACTCTAATATTTCATAAGATTTTATAAGGCCACTCAATTATTGGCCAATCCTCCCCCACAGAGGGCATGAGCCACAAGAGTAGGTCAACAATGAAAATGGCAGATCCCACGTACACTGGGAATCGATGATATGCGAAGCAAGAATGAGGAAGGGTGATAGGTCACTTTAAAACCAGGTAAATTATGCCATACATGACTTCCATGTCATGATTATCATCTTTATACATCTCATTTACCTTCGTCATCTATTAACGTCACCTGATACCAACTTTGGTATATGCGGAGCTAGCGAAACGGCCGCGAACGTGTTATGAGCGTAGCATGTAGTCATCTTTTTACATAAATTTATAGCATGATTATCATTTTTGAACGTGTCATATACATCCCTCGTCCATTCACGTCACGTAATACCAAATTTGGTATATGTGGAACTAGTGAAACAGGCGCGAGAACCCGCCGTGGTGGTCTAGTGGCTAAGGTACTCGGCTGCTGACCCGCAGGGCGCGGGATCGAATCCCGGCTGCGGCGGCTGCATTTCCGATGGAGGCGGAAATGCTGTAGGCCCGTGTGCTCAGATTTGAGTGCACGTTAAAGAACCCCAGGTGGTCGAAATTTCCGGAGCCCTCCACTACGGCATCTCTCATAATCATATGGTGATTTTGGGACGTTAAACGCCACATATCAATCAATCAATCAGTCAATCAATCAGGCGCGAGAACGCTACGTAGTCATGTTTTACATGAAACGCATATTATGATTATCAGGTTTGGACGTGTCATTTACCTTCGTCGTCTATTCACTTCCCGTGATACCAAACTTGGTACATGTGGAGCTAGCGCAACGGTGGCGAGCGCATTATGAAAGGCCCAATTTACTCCGACGCAACGTTGACGCACGGGTAGGCTGGGAGCGGTGACGCCATGCTAGCAAAACGCGAGCACTCTGTAGTGACGCCAGGCGCGACCAGCGTCCGTCGGCGCGGCCCGGTGTTAACCGGCCCAAAATGTGACATGCTGCATTTCGCGCAGACGATGCCCCGCGTCTGACTCTCTTCGTGACAGAGGGACGCCGTGTGCGCTCAAACGCGCATGCGTCAAAGCAAGGCAGCGCGGCGCGCGCCTGCGAGTATACGGCATGCAGATCCACAATGAAGGTCAGCGGGCAGATCCACTGATCTCTACTAGGGGCATATCGTCGCCTCCATGGCGTGGAATCGACAGCGTGACGCGATAAAACGAACACCGGCTCGCACGCGCGCCGGCTCACGTCGAAGTGTATTTGCACCTTGAGTGTGGCGTGTATTAATGTTCTTACATGAAACGCATCTCACGAGTATCATGTTTGCACCAGTCGTATGCCTTCGTTATCCATTCCCGTCCGGTAATACCAAATTTCGGTATAGGCACCCGGCAATGCAGTTTACGAGATCTGATGGTATAGCGCCAGAACACACAGCCTAGCGGGTAGGCGCAGCAAAACCGAGTCTTCCAATGCGTAGCCTAGCGAGCAGACGCAGCAAAACCGAACTTGCACGTGCATACCATTTTCTTTTTTAGTTGTGAGCAAGCGGTCACGGCTGATGATGTAAGCGCCCAGGAAGCGTTCTTTGCAAACGTGCCAAAAAGGGAAATGACACTTCAGCGTGTCACTGTGTTCAGCGAGCATTCCATTTTCTTAGTATCCCTGGCGGTGGGTACCAACAATGCTGAAGCAGCCCAAGAGCTTCGTTGCGCCCTCTGGTTCACTGTTGGGTGCCTATATCTGAAGGTAGCGAAACGGCCGCGAGGGCATCATGAGTGTGGGACCTAGTCGTGTTGTTATATTGCCACATTGAATATGCAGCACCAAGAGAACAACGAAGAACACGCGCAGCGAGAGAAGAAGACGAGGTTCTCTTCCGATCAGTTTGCCAGCAACTGCCACAGGGATGTACGCTCCGCTGTGTTTGATTACATCAACGCAACTAAAAGATTACCATGCTAGTGAACCCCTACCTTTTCAGATCTTTAGTTTATAATTCGTAGTTATGTCTTTCAAAAACAAGAGATGGTTTGACCGCTAGCTCAGCAAACATTTTTATTTTTGGTAGTATTATTTTAAGCTACTTTTTCAGATTGGCTTCATTTTCATTTTAGTTTCATTTAAGTATCCTGCCGCCCGGTTCTTGGCCCATCCCCCTCTGTGGGTAAGCGCCATTCATCAGAGGTCATCAGCATCAGCATCAGTTTGCCAGTGTTCTGGTACAATTAAAGTGAGTTTCCTGTATTCGACTGCTGCTGTTTCTGCATTGTGACACTGGTGGAGGTGCTGGGTACATGTTCGGGACGCCTGACAACAGCCCCGCATCTAGTCCAGAAAGACTTCCGCGCATCGACACCCAGGCCTCAGCCCGGAGTTTGGTCCATTGCCGGAAAGCGTGACTGTGCCAGAAAGCATGACGGTGCCTGGAAGCACTGGCCCCAACATGCCCAGCCTAAGCACGACACAGGTGACTGTTTTGAACCCTCGACTTCCGGTTGACTTCCACGGAAAAGCATATGAGGATGCACATGACTGGCTCGAGGAATTCGAGCACACAGCGAATGTTAGCGGGTGGAACACCACACAAAAATTGGGCGACGTATATTTTCCGCTTCAAGACGGAGCCCGATTGTGGTTCACGAATCGCGTGTGGTCGTCCTGGGACGAGTTCCGGCAGAAGTTCCTCGACACGTTCGCGAGCACTGAAAGACGAGAAATCGCACAGCGTCTCCTCGAGTCACAGATTCAGAAACCAAATGAATCCGTTATGATGTTTGTTGAGGACATAGTGCGGCTATTTCGTCGAGCAGATCCTAATATGCCCGAAGCCAAAAAGGTTAGCCACCTCATGCGGGGCGTTAAGGAGCAGCTCTTCGCTGGTCTCGTACGAAACCCACCTACAAGTGTGGAGGAATTCTCCAAGGAGGCGACATCTATCAAACGCGCACTGCATCTACGTTATCGCCA